ACCAGCAAATGTTCAGCATATGTACTCGTAAGAGATATTTTTATCTAATATTAAATGGACGCACAGAACTTAGCGAATGCACAGAAACCCGGACAACCAAACCCAGAGAATATTCCAAATGAAGTTAGAATACAAACTGCAATGGCAAACTATGGTCAAGTGCCAACAGATGTACAAATGCAAACTGCCATGTCAAATGACGCTGCGTTAGGTTTGCCACCATGGTATGCAAATATGAGATGGAAAGAGTTTTATACAAACCCTGAAGTGGGATATAAACAACTTTATGCAGATGACGCGAACACAGGAGTTGACCCAGAATATGTTTTCTACCAGAGGAGAAACAGAATGTATGAGCTCCAGTTAAAGAATGCTATGGAACTCAACAGGAAACGTAAGAGACTAGGCGGACATTAGATTTTTACATATAGTAAAATGGGTTTCTTCAGTAAGATAGGAAACTTCTTTCGAAATGTTGGAAGAGGTATATGGAATGGAATAAAAACCGTAGGAAGAGGAATTTGGAACGGAGTCAAAAATATTGGTAAAAGAGTAGGTCAGTTCGTTGGTATTATACCTAAAGACCCTGAACCAGAAGAACAAGCTCCTGTTATACAACAGCCTGAACCTGCACCACAGTCTAGTTGGCAACCAAATCCAACACCTCAACCGTATTAAAAGATTATATTTTTACCGTTCGATAGTAGTTGTATATGAGACTAAGTTCTAAGTAAAACGCATGGTATAATGGAACTATTCTCTTTCTTCCATCTGTTGTAAACCATACTTGAAAGTCTGAAATACTTCCACTTGGTGGTTCATATAGCTTTGTAGGTTTTTCGTAAAAGTCATTTGCCAAGCATAAAAAAGAGTTTTGTGCACCAGAAAATGAAGCATGAACTATAATAGCATCTGAGTCGAAAACATTTTCATATGTTCCATTAGGGTTTTCGACTTCATAAAAGTTCGGGTGTACTGGATATTCTGCAGGCTGATTTAACATCCTCAAAAATCTATACCATGCCAAGTTGTTATATTTTGTAGAAATATAAACGTCTTCTCCAAGGTCTTCTATTCTATTGATTTTAACAGTTGCATTTTTCCTGTCATATAAAATATCGAGATGGTACTCTCCTTCGTCAATGTTGTACTGTTTTGCATATTCGAGATAGATATCGTTTATTTTTTCTTGAAAAGCTTGAAGAGTTGTTTCTAAGTTTACAAGCAAATTCACTTGTAAAAGTTTTCCCTGTTCAAATTTCTCATACGTATGTTTTTCTTTGTTATAGTATCGAATTTCAAAAGCGACCGTAAATGGGAAACCATGTATGGCTTCTGAAATGAACTTCATTCTACGAAAGCCAATAGCTTTTGTGACGGATGGGTCTCTTAACCATCTTAGTGGGTAGTCAAAACGATAGCCTTCATGCTTTACGGTCTCTGTCTCAAACTTTTGACCGACATTCGTAAAAAGTTCATCTAATGGTTTAGTTGTAGCAACTCTTGAATTTTCTTTTTCTATTGAAAGCATATTTTATCTAGAATAAAAATGTCGAAAGAAACAGCGTCTATGAGAGAAATACAACACAACCGACAACTCATTGTACAAGCTCTAAATAAGAACACAACAAACTTTTCAAACTATTCTAAGATATCTGAGTCATTGAAAGAAGGAAACTTAAAACTGACGATAAACCCAATGACAGACGAGTTTCTGTTTCAAGACAGTAAGAACCATACTGTTTGTATAAATCCAACAAAAAGAACTTTAAACGAGAAGCCTATAGATGAACTTCTTTTGAAAGCAGATGTTGAAAAGAAAGCTGACAAAACATATGTAGACGATGCAATAGCAAAAGAAGAAGAAAGAGCTAACAAAGCTTATGCAACGAAAGAACATACTCATCCTGAACTAGCGGACAAAACATATGTTGACAATAAAATGTCAAGTGAAGTGACAAGAGCTGACAAAGAATATTCTAAAAAGACTCATACACATACCATTGCAAATATTACAAACTTACAAGAAACCTTAAACAGGAAAAGTGACGTTGGACATACACATACATCTTCTGAAATAACAGACTTAAACGTTAGCCTTGAAAAGAAAGCAGATAAGAACCATACACACGATTTCTTCGCAACTGTTGGTATAGAAAATATTGAAGGAACGGTTGAAGGAGCTGGTGGGGATGTATTAGATTGGAAACCTCCTAACTTTCCACAAGGTTTAACATCGGAAGAAGACATAACAACGATGAAATACACTAGATGTAGAAATGTCTATGTCATGGAGGATGAAAACAAAGTTAAATTCACTGCTCAAGATTTATATGATAAAAAAGCTGACAAAACAGAGCTTCAAACGTTAAAGACAGAAATACTTCAAACAGTATATCCTATAGGTTCTATTTACACGTCAATGAACTCTACCAGACCAGAAGTAGTACTTGGTTTTGGAACTTGGACTCAAATAGTCGACAGGTTTTTGTATTGTGCAAACTCTTCAAAGGAAACAGGTGGAAGTAAAACGATTTCAGGTGAAAATTTACCTGCACACAGTCACTACATAGATTTAAGTACATCTGAAGCAGGTTGGCATAAGCATAGATTTTGGGATTGGTCAGCAATGAAAAAAGGTAAAGGATATGATGTTAAAGACGACGTTAAGTTTGCTATAAATTGTTACTGGAGTGACACTCAGGGAGAAGGAAACCATACACATCGCGTTTCAGGATACGCAAACAACGGGACAAAGTAAAGACTACATGCCACCTTACATGACAGTTTACGCATGGTATAGAATGCTTAGTCGTCATTTTCAACTTCTTTAGCATATTCGTCAGGAGTTGTCTTATATTTGTTAGGAACTGTCTTTGAAAGTATACCACCTTGAACTTTGACAAGTTTGAAACGAGGTCTGACAATAGTAGTTTTATCTTCTGCTTGCAGTCTGTACATTTTGCCATGTTTGCCTAAAACTTCATAATATTCTCTTGTATACTTTCTTCTATTTTTACGAACACGAATGCGAGTACCTGTCGAGTTCCCATTGTTGTCATAGTCAATAGTATTTTCATATGGGTCGCGTTTAGGTATTTCTATTTTTACTTTGTCACCTTTCTTAAGTTTGAAGCCCGGCATTCTTTCTTGTTCTCTTTTGACTAAACTATTAAATATATAGTCTTTCTCTAAGTCGGGGTTGTTTTTCATTTCTTCGGGGGAGTGGTTTCCCAAACCTTTTTGTTTACGGCTATTGTAAATATTTAAAACTTGTCTCATCTTTGCCATGGAGAAGTGTCTATACTTGTCGTCATATGACATTTCATCTACCTCACCACCTTGTGGTTGGTTTAAGTCTCTTAAGATTTTTATACAACTGTCAATGACACCAAGAGCAGAATGGTTTTGGTCGACAATGAAATATTGGTTTACATTTTTTGAACGCAGATAGTTTTTAATATCTGATTTGAAAGAACTTTCACAGTCAGATGTCAGTTTTGTTGGATGGTATTTGTCAACGAATATTGTCAAAGCAGTTTTCACATCTAAAATATTTTTGGACCATAATGGTATGGCTTCACAGTATCTTGTGTTTTGACCGACAAATATTAGCCAGTATGGTGGTCCATCTTCTCTATATCTCGGAATGTTTTCCAAGATATCCATAAACCAAGCATTTGGTGTTGAACTAAAGATTTTTACCATGAGTGCTTTCTTTGTTGCTTAGAAACATACGGGTCCTTGTTTGAATTCGTCATTTTTAACCCATAAGAAATGGGTTTATTTGGCGCATTAGCAGGAGTCGCATCTAGATTTTTACCCGCAGTGGGAACACTAGCCAGAGGTGCATTTGGAATTGGAAGGAAGATTTTGAGTACATTAGGTATACTGAAAGAGAAAGCACAACCTATTATACAAACTGTACAGAAAGGTTGGGAGGTAGCACGAGATGCAGCAAATCTTATTCCAAATCCTGAAACAAGAGGAAAAGTTCAAGGATGGATGGACAATGTAGGAAGACAAGCAGGAAACTACTATAACAAAGCAAATGACTACTATAACCAAGCAGGGCACTATATGGACCAAGGTGAAAGATTCTTTAACAGAGGATATAACCATGCACAACAGTGGGTAAACAACAACCAACCTCAACCGCCTCAAACGTGGGGAATGTAAAATTTTTTACTGAGATGAAATGAACAATACAGCATTGAGACAAATGGGCTCAAGATGGCTTTGTCGGCTTCCAGCAGTTACACAACCACGTGTTTGTCAAGTTCTTCCTATACCTCAAGAAGTTTTAGACCGACTTAAAAAACCTCAACAACCAGTTGAAAACAAACCAAACTAAATTTTTTTACTGAGATGAAATGACCGAAGAAGTTGAAACGGTAGATTTGACACCACAAACAAAAAGTTCAGAACCATTGTCAAAACCTGTCAAAGAACTTACAGATGAAGAGAAAAATTCAATAATAGAAAGTGTGGGTCTGGAAATACAAACTCTAACTACAAAGTCACTTTTCATAAAAATGGAACGGCAAGTATCTCAAAAAAGAAACAGACTCTCACAAATAAAATATTGAAGTCTGAAGGAGCTTTCGAGACAACAGATGGAAAAGTTTACTTCACTGACCAACAGTTCATTATAGAACATCTCATTGACTTAGAGTCGAAATATTCTAAACTTTACAACAAACACAAAAAGTTGAAAGGAAAACAGAAACAATGGCATATGACATTTATGAAGATATTAACGACACAACTATTCCAGCAAGTGAAGTAAAGTCAGATGAACCGAAAAGTGACGAAAAACAGATAGAAGAAGGGAAGCCAAAAACTGAAGATAAACCAAAACCAAAGTTTAGTCTCCAGACTAAACCAAGCCAACCTTCATTAGCTGGTATGGGTTGGCGTCAAAGACTTATGGCAGCCGGTGGTTATGTAAAGTAAAGAAAAAACATTTTTTTATTTTTATAAAAATGCCCCCGTATAGAATGGATAGAAGGTCTGCTAGAATAAAAGCAGAGTTAGAAAGATATGGTTGGAGAGTTTCAAAGAAGTTTAAATATAAGAAGGGAAAGCCAATAAAAGTCTATGACAAATTGTCTGGTCTGACCTACGAAATGGACTTAAAAACAGCACGCGCAAATTATCCAAACAGATTAGAGAGGTTAGAAGAAGAACGGCTTATGGACATGCCTTTCAATGTTACTGAACCTCAAGTTGAGGGACACGACGGCTTTGCCAGATTCTACTGGAAACATGACGAACAATTGCATCCCTTGAGAAGGAAAAAAGGAAAAGGTGAAGACGCACATGCTCCCATGGAAAGAACAAGATATGCATATGAAAAGTATCGCGAGGTTAGAAGTAAAATTACTTCTGGTCGAACCTTTACAGTAAACTTTGACGAAGGAAAGAACAAAGAAGGCTTCATGGGAGTACTTGCTGCCATACAAGACGGAAATAAGAAAGGATACAATCTCAGACTAACCGTAACAGATTTAGATGGTCATATTTACTATGCACATGGCAATGTCACAACAGCCGCACAACTTCTTGACGCTTTCAAGACTACAAAGAGAGAACAAATGTTGACTCCGACTCAGACATTTTGAATGCAATTGAAGGAATTGCAAGCGTGAAGTTCGAATGGTATCAACCCAACCCTCAAGCAGTCAGACAACATGCTGGGTATTTCCCGTTCAGAAATAAGTCTGACATTAACCTGACAAGGTATGGAATTTACAATTCAATTGAAAAAATTGTCAATGAACCTTGTATTCTTACATGTCTCAGGAACTCTGGTCTTGTTACAGATGAGAAGATGAAGTATCTTGAGTCATGTGTTAAGACAAGGTACATTCTCAGAAGTCAATTGACAAAAATTGCACCGTTGGCAAATGTCAATATCCGAGTCAACATTCCGACTGAGAAAGGTTCTTCACACGATGACTATGTAGTTGACTTCAAATTGCCATGGTTGAAGATTGTACTTGTCCACAACCACTTCATGTTGAACGAAAGTCTTACAAACCCATTGTTCGGAAAAGGTAAGTGCAACATTGTCAGAGCTGTTAACATTCTTTTCGAGAAAGGCTTGTTGGAACCAATTCCAGATGACAAGCTGACAGAAACTTTTGTACCAAAAGACGAAACAAACTTTTCATTGTTGGTAAGACCAAAAGTTGTTCCAGACAAAGTTATAGCACAAAAGAAGTACACAGCTCCAAAAGGAGTTGGATTGTTCGGATACCAACCTGAACCAGAAGAACTTCCAATGAGGTTGCAAGAACTTCAAGATGCTATAAACAAACTTCCATTGAGACATCCAGTCGACGTCAAATTGTATTGGAGAGCATCAGAGTTAGGTCAGAAGGTTTTATATGAAACAGGTTGCTTTGACGATGTTTATGAGATAACAGGCGAGGTTTCTCAGAAGATAAGAGACTCACTTGAATTTCCACGAACTGGACCGATTGGATGCGACAAGTTCGACTCATATGAAAAAATATACTATGTCGACCTTAACGCTGCGTACATGAGGTTCGTCCAATATATCCCGACTGGAATTCCAAACGAAGATGGTGAGTTCCCGGGAAGGAACTATACAGTTGGAAAAGTCATACAACAAATGTATGATATTAGGAAAGCTTCAAACCCAAACTTGCAATGACAATCAAATTGCTTATGAATTCGACATGGGGATATTCCATTAAAAAACCTCAAAAGATGAAGAGTAAACACTATGAGAAGGTCGACAACTTTGTTGAAAGGTTCTCCCCTTTTGTTTTGAAATACGAGTTCACCGAAGGTCAAGGTGGCTTAGTAACCACAGTAAAACCTATTGTCGAACATTGGTCCTACCCTCAGTTCGCAAAGGCAGTCCTTGACAACTACAACAAATTCTTCTCCGAGGTTAAATCCAAAGTGAAGGTATACTATGAGAACATCGATGCACTCATGACGAACGAGGAAGGCTATAACAAACTCATTGAAATGGGTTTAGTCGGTGAAAAGATGGGCTGTTTTAAGCTAGACAAGGTATTTTCCGAAGTTCATGTAATATCGAAAAGGAAGTACTGGGCCATACTTGAAGACGGCACAGAAATAAAACATTGCATGAAATAAAAAATTGCATGAAGTTAAACATTGCATGAAATAAAACATTTTTTTAAAAAAACATTTTTTTATTTTATTTGAAATGTACGCTGAGTTTGTTGAAGAAGACCGTTGGGAAACTTGTTTGTTAGATGAGAAATATGAAATTCACTGTTGTGAGTCATTTGAAGTCAGAAACAAAAAGACAAAAAGAGTTTTAAGCGAATGGGAGCGAAATGACGGATATGCTACTATGAAGATGAGTGGAAAACACTATCTTAAACATGTTGTCATTGCAACTCATTTTATACCGAATCCTAACAATTTACCTTTTGTAGACCATATAAACCATATAAGAAACGACAATAGACTTGAAAACTTGCGTTGGGTCACTCGTTCTGAAAACAATAAGAACATAGGCAATTTTAGAGATATTGTATTCGAATTTGTCGACGAACTAGAAGATGAAACAATTGAAATTACAGACTATGGTAAGCATACGTTTGAGTTTTACTACTATAGCGAAGAACAAGACTCTTTCTACTTTTATACGGCGTAAACTATAGGAAATTACAAGTATGTTTTACTAAGGCAGGCTATGCTTATGTAAACACTAGAGATACAGATGGAAAACACGTTAAAATACTTCTTAACAAATTCAAGAAGCTATATGGCATACCATTTTAAAACGTTTTTAAAACAGTATATTTTTACATATATAAAATGCTTCAGGTTGAAAAACAAAGAACAAAAGTAGCAGATACAAAACCGTTAGACTATATCTTTACAAACGCTGGTAGGAATATTTCAGATGAAGAAATTTCATCCCGAGCATACAGGTTTGACTATCCAATTCGTTGGCTTCAAAGTCCTTCAGATGCAAAGGCAATAGGATTTAGAAGAGTTTTGTTTTCAAATAGAACTAATGCATTCATGTTCGCAGTATATTTTCATGGTCAGTATAAAGGTTCTGATGGTCTAATAGAAAAATTTGACGAAATGAAAATCTTTACAATTCGTTCAGACGAAAGTCTTGAAAAAACTCTAAATGACTTTCAAACTCAAATAAACAAATACTACTGGGAATTTCAAGAAAAATACGACTCTTTACTAAATGGAACATACTATCTGAAGCTAGAATACGACAAGATGAACTCCACAGTTTCATTTCAAAAGATTGAAATTAACCCTCCAAGAGATACAGAGTTTTTATATTGGGGGGTGGACAAACGTTCTTGGGCACAATTTCTTCGGTTACTAAACCAGAACGAACCATTACCACCAGATGGTCCATTTAAATTTATACTCCCACCAGCAGATTTGACAGTTTATAGAAACGTGTTTGACCCTCAAAATGTCATGTGTCATGCAAGTTTCAGTTCAAGCAACAACAGTTTTCTGTGTATCGGTAAGGACCTTTATGACTTTGCTTCTAAATTCTACGAACCACCTAGTAACAGTTTCTCTGACTTTCAATTTTGGTTCACAACAAACGGTGTGCAGCATATAATACCATTGTACTATGACTTTTATCTCGAATTGTCTTTCATATACAACTACGGAAAAGTGCTGAAAAAGTATTGAAAAATATATTTTAGATCTCACCAGGTCACCAGGTCCCTCGGTCCCTCGGTCATTTTAACTTCTCTGAAAAAGTGTGACAACATGACATTTTGACAACAACACAGGAAATAAACTTCATCGTATATGTTTTGTCATGACTTCTTCATCGTAAATGTTTTGTTGAGACTTCTTCGTCAATGTTTTGAAGAACTGAAGGGGTCACCAGGTCCCTCGGTCCCTCGGTCCCTCGGTCAACTAACATCTTTTTGAAAATGGTGACAACATGACATTTTGACAACAGTCCAGGAAATAAACTTCTTCATCGTATATGTTTTGTCATGACTTCTTCTTCGTACATGTTTTGTATAAAAAGCAACCGTCGGAAAACAGCGGGGTGGTATATTCTTCACGAAATGCTTGTTTTGAGGTCGAGCCAAAAGTGGCTCCACCGTAGAAAACACACAAAACTCTTGAATTCGGCAAAAATATATTTTAGTTTTTTTTAAAAAAATATTTTTTATTTTTATTGTAAGAACATGTCAGCAACAACTTCACCAAACTCTTTAGTCATGAACCCAACATCTATGTTAGTAGAGATGAAAAGCTTCATTCCTTCTTCATATACTTTCGAAACAGAAATCCAGAAGATAAAGCAAGAACTTCTCCAAGGAGATTTAGACTGTAGTACGAAAGATGAAACAAATGAACAGTATCTTTATGAAATGCAGGATATTATTGACCATCTACCTAAACTTCCTGAAATACAACAACAAAAGCTTACTATTCCAGAATTCGATGAAATAGAAGTGAAACCAACTGACTCAGTAGAAATAAAGAAGTTCATACGAAAGGTAAACTATGAGTTTCTTGGATTTCATTGCAACCACAAAGACTGCGATATGGTATATTTCATTGACATATACAAATCTGAAGAGTTTAAGACCTACGACAACTTTGTTTCGTTAGTTGCAAAATGTGTATGGCAGATAAGAGATAAAGATAGAAGAGGTAAAGTATGGAACGGACAGATAAAACCAGCAGCCTTTGAGTTAAAGAAAACCATTTACGCCTTGGTTGTACTTGCAGGTAAGGTTTCAATGTACAATGCTAAAATGAACCCACAATGTTCAAAATGTAAAGCAGCAATGAGGAAATATAACTACTCCGTCAAAGAGATAGAACGTATGAGAAACGACTATGCTGACTTAAAGAAAGAAGTAGAGAAACCAGCAGAAGATAAAATGGACATGTTGACATTTCTGAACAAAAACTATCCAACTGCTGACGATTTCCTTCTATCTGATGTCAAGAAGAAGTACAAAGAAACTTTCGGCATAGTTAAAACTTTTGATATCCTTCGTGAAGAAATAGAAGCTACAAAACTGTTTAAAGTCATGAACCATCACAACATATACCATGTAAAACGCTTGTGAAAAAGAGGTAGCACCTAAAATATATTTTTGTCTGATTTACGCTCATTGACGATGAAGTCTATTTCCTGTGTTGTTGTCAAAATGTCATGTTGTCACACTTTTTCAGAGAAGTTCATTTGACCGAGGGACCGAGGGACCGAGGGACCTGGTTAGATCTAAAATATATTTTTGCTGAAAAAAATGACCAAATTTCATGATATAACTGTATTTTTTTGACGAAGAGAACTTTGACACTTCGTAAAAAAACTCTATGAAATCGTGAAAAAAATGACCAAATTTCATGATATAACTGTATTTTTTTGACGAAGAGAACTTTGACACTTCGTAAAAAAAACTCTATGAAATCGTAAAAAAATGACCAAATTTCATGAATTTCCTCATATGTTTGCTACCCAAGGAAAATCGAGGGTAGAGATTCCGTACGAAAATCGTAAAAAAAACTCATGAAAATCGTGAAAAAATGCTACCCCGACTTTTACAGGGGTTGCCTAAAACTCATGAAAATCGTAAAAAAACTCTATGAAATCATATCTTTTATACAAGATAGAAAAAATAAAATTAACGCTAGTTTTTTTAAAATATTTTTTTTTATTTTGTATGTAAGAACAGGAAATGACAAACACTGAGTTTGAAACAGTTAAAAAGATAGACAATGAGACCAAAGTGGTTAGAATTGGTGATTTAAACGTAAGATACTCAAAGAAATACAACAAATATTCTTTGTCAGACATTATATCACCATTTGGAAAGAAAACATGGCATTGGGTTGGAATTGCTTCAACTCAGAAAATTTTGACAAGAAATCCTGAGCTTATGATATCAGTAAGATTCTATGGAACAAGAGCATATCTTATAGACAAAAGTCTTATACCAGTAGTTTTGTTCTGGATTGACCCAGTTGTTGGATATAATTTCATAACATATGGTTCATTCGATACGGAACGTTGCAGTGAGGGCTTACTTTACATCGTTCAGAAACCGAAGGACTTCAATACAAAGAGATATAAGATAGGAAGAACATTTAATATAACTCAAAGATATGACAGTATAGTCAATAGAGTTAAGGTTGCGTTTGTTAACGATATGAGAGCTGCTGAAACAGAACTACTTGAAAAGTTTGAGAAAATGTATGGTGCTCCCACGAGAGGTAAAGAAACGTTTGAAGTAGATGAGATCGACAAAGCTATAAAAGTATTTGACGAAGTTGCTGAAAAATACATGTAAAGCGTTTATTTTTGGTCTTTTGTGAAAGCCAGAAAATAACGCTAATTTTATTTTTATTTTATTTTTTATTTTGTATGTAAAGACAGATATGACAACAACAGAGAACACAACAACTGCTATCGTTCATGAAGCCATAAGTGAAGAATACGAGTGGGTTCAGTTTAACAAACAACTCCGTCTCATTCGTTCGGTCAAAGATGACATGTACCAAATGCAAAGTATTTTGAATGCTCTTCGTTCTACAAAGCAAGCACGTCATTGGTTTGAAAACCAACAGACAAAAGAACTTTTAGAAGAATTTCCTCATATGTTTGCGACCGGTAGAAAACCGCGGGTCGAGATTCCGTACGAAAATCGTCAAAATTTGCCAAATGGTTTGAGAGGTTGGTATGTACATAGACTTCTTGTAAATGCTGTTGCAATGTGGGCTTCACCTCGCTATGCTTGTTATATTTTCATGATGTTAGATGAAATTCATAGACAAGAACGTGAAGAGCTAGAGAACAAGCTTGAAGCAAAAGACAAAAACATACAGAAAAGAATACCACGTTCGGTACCAAAAGGAAAGGAAAAGAACTATAAGTATATGATTTACACTGAAGAGATGGAAAATGAAGAAGACAGAGATATGGTTATGTTGCATTTAGTCAGAAGAAACAACAAAAGCTTTTACGACTTAGCTAAGATTTACAAATCTGACAGAAATTGGTTCTATCGCGAAAACTTACCGATTTCAATGACACCAAATGAAGATGTTAAACAGATAGTTCAAGATACGTTACCTCAAACACACTATGATATGAAAGGTTGTACAATACTTACATTCAAAGAAGATTTGCCGCTACTGAAAGAAAAAATAACAGAGTATTTTGACAACTTCAAAGAGGAAGAGTAAATGAACCATTTATTTTTCAAGCTTGACACCAAAGATGGCTCAGGTAGCTCTATAAGGTAAATTGTCTTGTCCGAGTCCTTCTGGCATTCCGAGTCCTTCCTTCCAACAGGAAAAGTTTTTCCTTCCAACAGGAAAAAAATTTCCTTCCAACAGGAAAAGTTTTTCCTTCCAACAGGAAAAAATTTTCCTTCCAACAGGAAAAAATTTTCCTTCCAACAGGAAAAAATTTTCCTTCCGACAGGAAAAATTTTTCCTGTTGTCCGTCCGTAAACCATTCAAATTTTCGAAAATTGAGAACTTTTTGGCCGACCTTCAGGAAAAATTTTTCTTTCCGACAGGAAAAATTTTTCTTTCCGACAGGAAAAGTTTTTCTTTCCGACAGGAAAAGTCCTTCCTTCCGACAGGAAAAGTCCTTCCATCCGACAGGACACAAACGAATGTCCGACGTACCACCAACCGAGTCCATTCCAAAGCCAGAAGAACCGACAGCCCCAGCACCACAACAGACTAAGACTCAAACACTTACATTTTTACGCTTGACTTTTTACAATTTGAACTTTGTTTGCGTAGATATGAATTCTGAAAGAAGTATGAGGGTCTTGTATGACTTTGTACTTCTCCCATAGTTCATGTCTGTCAAACTTACCTGCCATGGACTCTTTCATAAGTTCCATGAAATCGTCTTCGGACAATCCGGGGAAAAGTATGATATCAGTAAGTATTCTCTTTACATCCTTACTTAAACTCTTGGCTGTCTGTACACAAATGACAACTGAAATGTTAAAGTGTCTGAGCTTCTTGAGAATTCGACACATGTCTTGTTCTCTGTTCTTTAACAAAGGATGAGAAGCAAAGTCATCTAAGATAAGAAGACATCTGTGAGGGTAAGTCTTCCAATCGTAAGATTGCAATTTCTTCGAAATGTATTCTATCTCTTTCTGTTTGTTTCTGAAGTGTTTCTTCTCTAATATTCTCTGCATTTCCTCATTTGGGTCTTTAAACTTAGAATTGACATACTCATTTATAGCATTGTACTTCAAAACTCTTCTTTGGTACTTCTTTATCCAATCTAACAACTCAGAGTCTTTTATACATACTAACTTAGACTTTTTTATAATATCTTTGAACGAATTTACGGTTTGGTCAAATTGACTAGAAGTACTACAAATGACTACTAACTCATAGAATGGGTTCTTCTCATCTAGTTCTTGTTGTTGTGCAGCCATTTTAAGATAAGTGAAAGTCTTACCCGACCCAGGCGGTGCAATTAGACCTGTTATACCATTCTGAGCAAATAGGAACTTGTCATGTATGGGTTTTATCTGAGCATTTTCCAACTTCCTCTTGTTCTTGTTTAAAACATTCTCAAATTTCTTGTCAATGTCAGCAAACTTTTTTTCTAACATATTTTTAGAAAAATTAAAATTTTTATCTTTTAGGAAATGTCTAGCGATTTCGCTATCTATATTCGAGACAAGCTTTTCGACAGCAAAACATCTGTCGACCATAAAATCTTACATAGTGTAAACAAGAAAGGTGAATTTGTTCTAAAGTTCTGTTTCTGGGAATATGACAAGAACCATAAAACCTTAAGCAGAGAAGTCTTAAAATTTGTCAATGACAGACTTGTTGACAGAGATGACGCCTCTTGGAGAGATGAAGTCCAACAAAACTTCTTAGAATGCAAAGAAGACACATGCGCTGTTCTTGAAAATGAAATAGAAAACAGAATAGAAGAGCTATTAAATGACAAAGCACTTTTACAAAAATATGGTTCTGAGAAGTTTGACATAACTCCACCAGAGAAGAAGAAGAGAGAAAAGAAAGAAAAGAAAGTAGAAGAAGAGAAGAAAGAACCAGTTCCAGAGAAGAAGAAATTTGACATGTAAAAATAAAATTTTATTTTTAGAACATTTCTGGGTCAATGTCAATGTTCTCTTCCTCTTTAGGAGCAAACACTGGCTTAGACTCTAAAATCTTTTTACCCAATTTACCTTGAACTTCAACTATCTTAGACTCATAATATTCATAGTCGTCTGCTTTCTTTGGTTCATAAGGTATAACAAGTTTGTATGCTTTGCCTTCTTTAAGGTTTGAGAACCTTCTGTCAAAACTTTCTTTGACTGTTAACAAACCTTCTATGTCTAAGTCTTCAAATTTCGCACCATTTTTAGTCACAATAGCAAACTTAACTGGTTCGATGTTCCAAACTTTGTCAAATGTAGACTTTTCAAAATGGTAGAAGTAAACATTCAAATATGTGAATGGGTCTAGTTCTTCTTTAAGTCCTGACATGTACTTGTTTACTGAGATGAATTTCGTCATCTTTTCTATCGGATAAAAAAAATATTTTTTTTAAAATTTACTCAGAAAAATTTTTCTTTGTATATACACCATTCTGTACGTCTAAAAGACTTTTGACATTTGCCAAGAATGTTCGTTTAGACGCTGTCATATAACCATACTCTTGACAATACTGTTTATACGAATCGTACAATGACCTTTCATCTAAACACTCAAAGTCAGTTTCATCTATGAACAGTTCATATACACTCTTGTTTGCTTCTAACAATGTTTGTCTCTCTTCGGTATGTGGAATTTGTCTTGGATTGAACTTAGAAATATCTAATGTCATGAAATATGAGAACAAGTGGTTGTAAAAGTCAGATGTCAAAGTTTCTGCTAAGTCGTCAAAATATTCTGTATCTTGCATATGAGCTTCTGACGTTCTGACAACTACATATCTTCTGTCAGAACTTTCTAACTTCATCGGAACGGCGTTGTTTGAAACCATGACGAAGTTTGCAACATTTTCACAAACTCTTTGGTCTTTATATTTTTTCTCAACAACTCCAACTTTGTCTGTTATAAGACTCTTCAAAGCATCTGAGTTCAAAACTTTTGTTGTATCTATACTTTGAAGTTCGTTACATACTATAAGTTTCATATTCTCTATTGAAGAGTTAAATTTACCGCAGATGTTTTCTAAGTTTGTCATATTCGGGTTCGAATAGCCCTCTAACAGTTTGCATAAGATATCTGTAAAGAAAGTGTTCTTACCTGTTCCTTGTTTTCCAATTATGATGAGAGCAGTTTCATTTTTAGCACTTGGATGTTGTAAGATGTTTGCAAACCAACATAAGATATACTCATAGACTCTTTCGTTTCCATTGCATATAATTTCTTTGACATGGTCTAACCAAGCTTCTATAACATTTTCTTTCCATTCTACTTGTTCATATTTATATCCAGTGAAGATAGAATAGAAGTTTGGAGATGGTGTATAGAACTTTATACCACGAACTGAAAAATCTTCTAACTTTGACAATAAGATATCCCAAGCATCTAACATCTTCATGCCAACTTGTACAACTTTTATTTTCTTAAGTTTCTGTTTACATTCTTGTTCTGAAACTATTGTCGCTTTAGGTTTGTTAAAGACAACATCCCATTCTTTCATGACATAACATTCTGGGGCAGAGTCGACATAAATGACTAAACGTTTCAAATTCTCGACTGCTTTGTTATAGTCTCGAAATGGACACATATTTCTGAACGCTTGGAAGTCATAAAAATCTGAAACGTCTATTCTGTACATTTTTATAAAAATAAAAAAAAATATTTTTTTATTCTTGAGCTATTTGTTGCATTTGTTCCATTTGTTGCATTTGTTGTTCTTGAGCTATTTGTTGTTGAAGTTGTTCTTGTAGTACAATACTTTCACCAGTTGCATCTTCCAATTCGAAACTTTCTGCCGTCATTGACAAATACATAGGACATAAAAGTTTTACAGGAACAAAGTTTGCGTCAACTAAGGTTAAGTTTATGTTTGCTAAAGTGTTTGAGTTTACTAAAGCTGAAAACTCTGCATTCGAATGAACAATAGGCAAACCAGCAGAGAAGGTGTTGTTTATACGCATGAGTATCTTTTGGTCATAGTAGTTTCTGTCGACATTCGAATAGCACTTTGAACCTAAGTTTGAAACAATATATAAAATAGGTGTACTTAAAGTCAATGGAACAGATAGACCTTGTATGACACCTTTTCCTGTTATAGGAAACTGTTGGTAGTAAAAACCAGATATAAGTTTTGTATTATAGCTCATATCGTTTATACTAAACTCAGTCGGACATCCAAACATAATGAAACCTGCTCTAGTTGCAGCACATGTTACATCCGTCCTTAAAGTATTAAATAAGTCAACAAAACCTGTTGGTGGTATATCTGAGTAAGTATCTTCAAAGGAGTATTTTTTACCATTCACAACAATAAAATCTTCTGGTGTCAAAAGAGCAAAACAGGCTTTAGTCGTCATCGTGTTTAAGGTCAGTTTACAATATCGTCCTTGAGGACTTTGTAAGTTTGTTGTTATAGAATTATATGACTCAGGGTTTTTAGTCGTAATAGTATAAACCACTATGTCTTCTGCCATTTACATATATTTAAAAGTTTTTCTGAAAGTGGAGAAGAACTTCATCTAAACTTTCACATGGCGTTTCTTGAAGTTCTCTGTCTAAGAAGTTCAAATATTTTGTAAAGACATAGAACTTTCCTTTGTCTACACGAACAAACAAAACAGGGTCTTTCATATCGTTCAAAAGTGTGTAAAGTCCTTTACATGAAATAAAGTCTATATTATTTTTCTTCAAACATCTTTCAAGAAGTTTTGACATTTTTACTTAGCAAGTAAATTTTAATGAAATGTTGTGGTCGTCAAATATTTTTATGACGTCTGGGAAACTATATTTTAAGTTCAACGTTTCACCTCCTTTCATAACGTATATCTTGTCAATGACATTATATGAAACACCACAGCAAGCAATGTCGGGTTCTATTTCTTTGATGTTTATATCGTCTGCCTCTGTCAAAAGTTTCAATAGTTCTTTCAAAACTTCATGAGGTGCGATGACATATGAGTTCACTTTTACAGGGTTGTGTTCGACCAAGTTTAACATTAGACCTAAAGCTTGACAAATCTTCTCCTGAGTTTTAAGTTTGTCTTTAAGTTGTTGGTAGTCGTTTCGAATATCTGCAACAGAACTTAAGTCTCTGCTAACTTCAGGATATGTTGGTTGTTCTTTTACAGGAACTATTGTTATACCATCTTCGTCTTCGTATGGTTTCCCCACTTCAACATCTCTGTCTTTGACATTGACAACAACACTTTGACTGTTTGTTTGAGTTGGTGAATTTAACTTCACATCTGCCATCGCCATTAAACCTTTTGAAACACTTACGCTTCTATTTTTCGGAAATGACATTTTACTTAGAATAAAAAGATGGACGTATTCGGATATCTTATTGAATTGAAGCAGAACAAAGTTTATACTCACAAACAATACAAATACATTGACAGAATAGTTCTTTACACAAACAATGGAAAATGTTATAGAATAGCAGTCTTTGCTGAACCAAAATATTTCCATAAAGCAAAGAAAGTTGGTATAACCGAGATGGTGAAAGTTCTTGACGTTGACAAAAATATAACAACAAAACTGACCGATATTTCTAAAGGAAAGTTTTTAATACAATATTATATCAAAACTGGCGTACTGTCAATATTTGACGGAGAGAAGTCAGTTCAAGAACAACTTACTGACCTGCTGCCAAAATCTGCTCGATGGAAGCTGTCGTTATGCCAATCTGAGGAGCCCCAGCAGGTTTCATCGAACGAATCTTCAAAAGAGCATCTTCCGTGAAAAGTGCTATTGGTTTTGTAAACTTCTTTGCTTTCAATTCATCTGGACCGTCTCTGTCACCAGTATATTGTATTTGAACTGTACAACAGTTGAAATACCACCCATAAAGTCTTCTGAGTCAGCAAATGGAATGCCAAGCCAAAAGTTTGAACGGTCTCCATTTGTATATTGAGTTTTTTGACCTCCTGTATGAGTCCATACTTTCACATATGGCATAATAGAACTTTGCATTTCAGGGTTAATGGTTGTTGTGAAGTTGTTGTTAAAGTTCATAGCATCTAATGTCAAGTTGTATGACCTCATATCCTCAACTGTAGAATATTCTTCTCTTGGATAGTATTTGCCATCTATGTTTATATGGTATTTTAATACCAGGGTTGTAGAAGCAAGAATAGTCATTTATAGTTCGTCTGAACAGTACAAACATAGTATCTGCATGTTTCATTGCAGTTGTTAAAGCAATATCTGTTCTTGCACCTGGGTCAGCACTTTGGTTTCCAACTTCACCTGCAAAGTCTTTGACAGATATTTGGTGTATAGGGAACATAAGTGGAACTGCAATATATTTGGCAGCTAAAGCATTTGAAATATCTGGGTCCAACATATAGACTGCAAGTCTGCTTTCTATTCTCTTGCATTCAAACTTTTCGCATGTGAACTTAACTGGGTCCCAAGCAGTTCCAGCAGCATTGAAATAGTAGTTTACATCAGTGTTGAGGTTTGAGAAACCAAAGTCTAAGTCAACTTTGTCTTTGCAAAATTCGGCGAATGACGTTTGATTTGCTCCCTTTACGTCTGTAAGAGTGAATGGGTCTTGTGTTGGTGCAATGACTAAGTTATTTTTGCTTGGAGTAAGTTCGATAGAAATTTTTCCTGCCCAGTTTGGCAAGTATCTTAAAAACCTGAAGATGAGGAAAGATGACAAAGGAACTCTAAGTTTCAATTTTACTTTGGTTACTGCTGCTGCAGTTTGTCCAGAAAGGTCAACATAAACTCCTGGAACGTTAGGGTCAAGTCTTCTTATTTTCTCAATAGTTGCATACTGGTCTGTTTGTTCTCTAGCTTGTGGTTGTACTGAGTTTCTCAAAGCGAACCATTCATAGTTTGCCCATGTTACTGTTTGAACTAAGTCAGAGTTAGAATATATCTTATATCCCATGAAAACTTCTGGAGCATATTGGTATCCGACATAGAAAATTCCATTGCAACCTTTCTTGTCAGACAACTTGGCAGAAGGTTTTATTTCAATGTCTTGTTCCACGTATAAGAATGAGTTGTCAATAGAAATTATATGAAACCTGTCGCAAGCAATATCTACTGTTGTTGAAGAACCTTCTCCAAACTCACCTACGTTTCCATAAGAAACAGCAGTTGTATATTCGTAAGTTCCAGGAACTATTTCTGACCTTCTAATGGCATTGTCGCATTCGTTATACCATTCGGAAACATTTCCATTCATGGCATCCAAAACTGTTGGCGTTATATTCTGAGCGGCGTACATTTCATATGAGTAAAAATATAGAATAGTTGGATTTATATGTCATAATAGAACCCACGTGGACCAAGCTTTACTTTCTTCCTGACTGAGTTTTTAACTCTTCTTTTTCCTTCATTGCCACTACTTTCACTAGATGAAGTTACTTCTTCACTACTTTCACTTTGTTCTACTCTTCTTCTTTGGTGTCGCTTTGGTAACTTGCCCTCTGCTTGAAGTTGTTGCATCTTTGCCTCATGTTCACCTAGTATGTTGTAAATTTCCCATGTCCTTTTTGCCTTTGGACTCTGGTCGCCCATCTCAGGTAACCTATATCCTAGAAAGAGTTTGTCATAGTTTATTTGAGTCTTTGCGTATTGTTTGCATGACTCTTTCCTGAGTTTCCGGTTCAAGCTCTTCAAACAGTGCCTGTCCATATGGAATAAGCTCGTTTCCAAATATATGTTTTTGTAGCCATTCTGGTTTTCTTTCCATGTTACCAATTATATCTTTTGTGAACGGGAAAGCTTTTACCCAACGTTTCAAGCTTGCGTCATTTATTTCTGTAGTTGGTTTTATTTTGTCAAGGAACATGTTTTTCAATACTAACATTTCATTTGGTACTGTCCATTTGAGTTTACTTAAATATTCATCCCTTCTCGTTCATTGTCTGCAAAGTAAGTTTTTATGACATTTTGTAAACTTTCGTTTGCAAGGTCATGTACAATAGGTTCTCTTCCTTCTCTATCCCTAACTTTCTTTCTAAACTCTTCACCAAATATACCATCTTTATGGTTCTGTGTAGTTCTTTGAGATAAATGTTCTAGAACGTCAGGTGTTATATTTCCATCAGCCATGTTCATTTCATACTGGTTCAAAATATCTGCATGTTTCATATCTTTCAATGGCATTAAAGCCGCGCTTAAAATACCAGCTATATCTCGTTCACCATTCAATTCCATTGCGTCTACAACTTCTTGGAATTGTGGTTGTAAGTTTATGAACCACCTATCCGGATTAGCTTTATGACCCCATCTCATTGTAGTTCCATAGTCTGCAGAAACAAAAGTAGGTTTGTTTCCATCTTGGTTAGGTTCTGAATGAACTTTAAACAATGTTTCATTTCTATATGTTTTGTTGAAATTTAACCTTTTATTTTCACCGAGTTCATCCAAAGATTGAACGTTAAATGCTCGTAAGTAAAAAGGGTTGTTGTATTTGTGTACATTTTCTTTCAGTACTTCCATTCTATGCTGAATATTTTCATCTGGTGTTGGAGTCTTTTGTATGTCGGCAAACATTTTTCGATATTCTTCTACTATGTCAGCCGAATTTTTTTTAGACTCTTGGAAATATTCCATATTCTCCGCATACTCTTGTTGAGGGTCAAGATTTTTCGGCTGTTCCAAATCTTCATCTAGTTCTGTGAAGTTAGTTTCCAAAGGAAGGACTTGTTCGTTTCCTTCAGGCTCTTCTAGCTGTTGTTGCTGAACTATTTCTTCCATGTCTGGTTGTATCTGAACTTCTTCCTGTGGAGTTTCTTGTACCTCATCTGCTGGCATTTCATATATTCCGAGACCGTTTTCAACAAGTTCCCTATTTAAGTCATCCGCATTCATAAGCCTTTGTTCTTTCGTTCCGTCTCTATTTTTTACGCGTTTCATGAAGAGAGTTGAATTATCTTTATCATTTATCTCTGACACCAAATATCTCGGTGTAAATTCGTTCATGTCATTTGGATGATATGCTATTAAATCATATCCCTTTGCGAGCTTGTATTTTCCAGGTTTGAAATTATATCCGATTTGGTGCTGAGTCATAAAGCTAAATAGGTTCGGGTCAGTATTTCCATCCTTGAACTTTCTAATAGCTTCTTTATATCTGTCACTAAAGTCAATAGTATCTGGGTAACCATAGTCTTCTTTAAGCATTTTTAAGAATTCTTGGTTTCCTTGTTCTCTACTTCTTTTATGTCCTTGCTCTGTTTGTGGTTGTTGCTGTGCAGGGTTTTGAACTGTTGGTTGTTGTGCTGGTTGTGGAGGTGGTTGTTGTGCAGGGTTTTGAACTGTTGGTTGTGGAGGTGGTTGTTGTTGTTGTTGTTGTGTTGGTTTTGGTGCATGCCTGTGTCTGTGTCCATGTGACGATGTAAATGTGTTAGGTAGTCCTGGTGCAGGTGCTTCTCTTGGAGGGTTTGGTGGTATATAAGTTCCACTAGCTAGTATATAAGTTCCACCAGCTGGTATATAAGTTCCACCAGCTGGCACATATGTTCCATCTGCAGCGTAATGTCCTACCTGACTTTTCGTTTTTAAGAAAGCATTTACTAGGTCTGTTTTGGTCTGTTGTAACTCTTTTTCTTGACTTTTCACAACAGTTGCTCTAACGGCGTCATAGGCACTTTGAACTGCCTGTCTCGTTGCTGCATCTGTTATTTTCGTCATATTTTGTGCTACTTCTTTTAACTCTTTGTCGAAACCTTCAGACTTCAGTTTCTTTCCAGATGAGAAGTCGTTCACTTGTTTCACCTTACTATGAAGAGCTTCGAAGGCGTTCTTAAAGTCAGCATTCGTTAAAGCTTCATTTGAACTGTCTTCATCCGCTTGTATTTTTGTCCTTATTGACCCTATGAGTTGGGCTGCTTTAGCGTTGGCTTGGGCATCTAACCAGTCATTGTTAGCTTTTATATATTCTGCGCTTTTCATTGCCTTTTGCATAGCCGCGTCGTTATTTTTACTTTCTTGTGCTAAGTTTTCATACTGTACGGTTTGGTTTTGCAACTGTAAAAGTTTTTCTGCCTTTACATTTGCTTCAACTTCTTTTTTATACTCATCGCTATCCATATATGTCTTCAGGGCTTTTTGTTTTATCTCTTCATCTTTCAGTATTTTATATTGAGTAGTATGGTTTTTCAAATTTATGACATCTTGTTCCATTTTTGCTACTTCTGCTGCTTTTTCTGACACTTTTTTTGCATATTCCTCTGTACTTAGTTCTTTCAGTTGTTCTTCTTTCTTCTTTTTCTCTACGTTTAACTCATTGAGTTTCTTTGTGTGTCTGTCATATTCTAGTTTCTTTTCGTTTTCACTTATTTGCTTCTGTATGTCTATGTTTGACTTTTTGACATCTGTTATTTGATTTTTGAGTGAACTCAAATTCATTTGACTTTGAGGGTTATATGCTGTTCCGTCTGCAGCTCCACCATAGCCTGCCATTTTCGCTAAAAGTGCCGCTCTTAAACCTCCACTCTGTGCACCAATGACTCGGTTTAAAAGCATAGGATTGCTTGACATTTGTTGCAACATAGTGGGGTCATTCAGCATTTGTTGTTGCAACTGTTGTTGTGGTGTTAGTCTTACTATTGGATGTTTCAATGCTCTCTTCCTCTTACGTATATTCTTACGTAGCTTACGTGGCATTTTAAGTGAAGTTAAAAAGCGGTTTTATACTAAACATCTTCGGGGCTAGAGGGCACGAAGTGCCTGGAAGCCCCAATACCTTTTTTTTTTCTATCCTTTATATTTCATGAGATTTTAAATTTATTCTCATAAAATTGACAATTTTATACGTTGAGATGAAAATAATTGATTTTGCTTGAAATAAAAATTATTGTTTGCTTACAGCTATCAAATAGATTTTTGCTATTTTGATTAAAATTTGTTAATCAAATTAATAAATTTTTTGTAAATATCTTAAATATCTGGATCACTCACTGATACAATGAATTGAACAATAAAAATAATACAAACTCAACTAAGTTTCCTGTCTTTCAACTAAAAAAATTATGCAAATTAAATTAAATTGTTTATTCAAATATTAAACAAAGATGAAGTAATTACATTTATCATAAACTTTATGAATAACTCTGTAATTGGTTCAGATTTTCGTAAAAATATTTTTATTAATATCGATAAGAATACGTTTACCTACTATCACAACATATCGATAAACAAGAGTAGAGTGATTTTTATCATCGAAACTTTTTAAAAGCTGTAAGCTGGAAGTAAAAATCTTGTTTTTTCTGAGTTAGTTGTAGAACTATTGATGCACGAGTTATCATTGTGATGTAGAAGGATGTCAATGTACTGACTGAAGGATATGAAGTGAATTGAATTTCATTGAATTTCAATTTGATCAAAATTTGTTGAAATGATATGAATGTGTCAACATCTGTATCACTCTCTTTCACTCCTTCCCTATTTTTTCGAGAACGAAGCTAGCTCAGCTTTCGCTGAGCGAATTGACACTTTTGATGCCCTAAACGTACATATTCTCAAATTTATCGAAAAAAATTATACCACCCAAACTAGTATATTCTTATTTTAAATATGATATTGTAATAAACAGAAATTCATCAAAAGTGACAGCTCTCAATTTTTTGACATTTGTAAATTCTAAATTGAATGAGAAAAATGAAATAATACTAAGCATAATGCAATATTCTAGATTTAAAAAAAAAGGCACTGGGGCTTCCAGGCACTTCGTGCCCTCTAGCCCCAGTCACTTTTCTGTCACTTTTCAGGGTAAAAACATTTTTATTGTATATAAAATGAATTTTACAAAACCACCGTTACCCTTCTTTGGAAATAAGAGTAGATGTAAAGATATTCTATTGAGAGAACTTAAGAAACTACCGAATGGTCTAACATTTGTAGATTTGTTCGGTGGAAGTTTCTATATATCTCATTTGTGCCATACTGTATTTCCTGACTCAAAGATTATATGCAATGACTTCGACAACTATATGAACCGTCTCAAACATATACCAGACACAAACAAAATATTGAAAGAGTTAAAAGAAAAGATACCTATAGGTAAGATGGAACGTATACCATTAGATAAGAAAAATACTGTCAGAGAGGTTTTGAAAAAAGCAGAGTATATTGACTGGGATAGTATATCTTCTAGACTATTATATAGTGGTGCTATAAGAGTTCATGACATTGAAACACTTATGTCAAAAGTTTTATATCTTAACTATACAAAGGTTTTCAAAAGAGAACATAGAAAAATATACTGAGGGTATAGAGTTTGTGAGATGTCGTTGGACAGAGTTGTATGAAAAATATAAAGACAAGGAAAATGTTTTCTTTATAGTGGACCCGCCGTTCTATAACACATGGATTTTCAATACCAAGTAGACTGGACTTTGAGAGACTCTTTTAGAAACTTTAGACGTTTTACATAACCATCCATGCTTTTACTTTACATCCGATAAAAGTTGTGGAAACCGTTATGAGATGGTTTAGAGGACATACATGACTATGAGTTTAGATATGACAAGAATAGAATATGAGAGAGGTCCTATAAACTGGAGAAAGTGTCACAACAAAGAAATTTTATTGGTAAGTAAATGTGGTTTGAAATAGGACTACTTGTTTTAGGTTTTTCCATTGTGTCATTTATTTATTTGACGTGGCAGAAAGATATAGAGAATATGAAGATGAACCACTGCCTGCAAATGTTCAGCATATGTACTCGTAAGAGATATTTTTATCTAATATTAAAATGGACGCACAGAACTTAGCGAATGCACAGCAACCTGGACAACCAAACCCAGAGAATATTCCAAATGAAGTTAGAATACAAACTGCAATGGCAAACTATGGTCAAGTGCCAACAGATGTACAAATGCAAACTGCCATGTCAAATGACGCTGCGTTAGGTTTGCCACCATGGTATGCAAATATGAGATGGAAAGAGTTTTATACAAACCCTGAAGTGGGATAAAACAACTCTATGCAGATGACGCGAACACAGGAGTTGACCCAGAGTATGTTTTCTACCAGAGGAGAAATAGAATGTATGAGCTCCAGTTAAAGAATGCAATGGAACTCAGAAGGAACGTAAGAGACTAGGCGGACATTAGATTTTTTACATATAGTTAAAATGGGTTTCTTTGGAAGAATAGGAAACTTCTTTCGAAATGTTGGAAGAGGTATATGGAATGGAATAAAATCTGTCGGAAGAGGAGTATGGAACGGTGTCAAAAATATTGTAAAAGAGTAGGTCAGTTCGTTGGTATTATACCTAAAGACCCTGAACCAGAAGAACAAGCTCCTGTTATACAACAGCCTGAACCTGCACCACAGTCAAGTTGGCAACCAAATCCAACACCTCAACCGTATTAAAAATTATATTTTACCGTTCGATAGTAGTTGTATATGAGACTAAGTTCTAAGTAAAACGCATGGTATAATGGAACTATTCTCTTTCTTCCATCTGTTGTAAACCATACTTGAAAGTCTGAAATACTTCCACTCGGTGGTTCATATAGCTTTGTAGGTTTTTCGTAAAAGTCATTTGCCAAGCATAAAAAAGAGTTTTGTGCACCAGAAAATGAAGCATGAACTATAATAGCATCTGAGTCGAAAACATTTTCATATGTTCCATTAGGGTTTTCGACTTCATAAAAGTTCGGGTGTACTGGATATGCTGCAGGCTGATTTAACATCCTCAAAAATCTATACCATGCCAAGTTGTTATATTTTGTAGAAATATAAACGTCTTCTCCAAGGTCTTCTATTCTATTGATTTTAACAGTTGCATTTTTACTGTCATATATAATATCGAGATGGTACTCTCCTTCGTCAATGTTGTACTGTTTTGCATATTCGATAGATATCGTTTATTTTTTCTTTGAAAAGCTTGAAGAGTTGTTTCTAAGTTTACAAGCAAACTAACTTGTAAAAGTTTTCCCTGTTCAAATTTCTCATACGTACGTTTTTCTTTGTTATAGTATCGAACTTCAAAAGCGACCGTAAATGGGAAACCATGTATGGCTTCTGAAATGAACTTCATTCTACGAAAGCCAACAGCTTTTGTGACGGATGGGTCTCTTAGCCATCTTAATGGGTAGTCAAAACGATAGCCTTCATGCTTTACGGTCTCTGTCTCAAACTTTTGACCGACATTCGTAAAAAGTTCATCTAATGGTTTAGTTGTAGCAACTCTTGAATTTTCTTTTTCTATTGAAAGCATATTTTATCTAGAATAAAAATGTCGAAAGAAACAGCGTCTATGAGAGAAATACAACACAACCGACAACTCATTGTGCAAGCTCTAAATAAGAACACAACAAACTTTTCAAACTATTCTAAGATATCTGAGTCATTGAAAGAAGGAAACTTAAAACTGACATTAAACCCATTGACAGACGAGTTTCTGTTTCAAGACAACAAGAACCATACTGTTTGTATAAATCCAACAAAAAGAACTTTAAACGAGAAACCTATAGATGAACTTCTTTTGAAAGCAGATATTGACAACAAAGCTGACAAAGAGTATGTAGATGCAACAAGAGACTATATTTTCGCATGGACAGATAGAACATACCCACAAAAACACCATACACATAACATCTATGACGTAGATGAACTTCAAGAAAAGTTAGATGACAAGGCAGATAAAACATATGCTGACAATAAAATGTCAAGTGAAGTGACAAGAGCTGACAAAGAATATTCTAAAAAGACTCATACACATACCATTGCAAATATTACAAACTTACAAGAAACATTAAACAAGAAAAGTGACGTTGGACATACACACGATTTCTTCGCAACTGTTGGTATAGAAAATATTGAAGGAACGGTTGAAGAAACTGGTGGGGATGCATTAAATTGGAAACCTCCTAACTTTCCACAAGGTTTAACATCGGAGGATGACATAACGACGATGAAATACACTAGATGTAGAAATGTTTATGTCATGGAGGATGAAAACAATGTTAAATTCACTGCTCAAGATTTATATGATAAAAAAGCTGACAAAACAGAGCTTCAAACGTTAAAGACAGAAATACTTCAAACAGTATATCCTATAGGCTCTATTTACACGTCAATGAACTCTACCAGACCAGAAGTAGTACTTGGTCTCGGAACTTGGACTCAAATAGTCGACAGGTTTTTGTATTGTGCAAACTCTTCAAAGGAAACAGGTGGAAGTAAAACGATTTCAGGTGAAAACTTACCTGCACACAGTCACTACATAGATTTAAGTACATCTGAAGCAGGTTGGCATAAGCATAGATTTTGGGATTGGTCAGCAATGAAAAAAGGTAAAGGATATGATGTTAAAGACAACGTTCAGTTTGCTATAAATTGTTTCTGGGGTAGCACACAGGGAGAAGGAAACCATACACATCGCGTTTCGGGATATACGCAAACAACGGGACAAAGTAAAGACTACATGCCACCTTACATGACAGTTTACGCATGGTATAGAAATGCTTAGTCGTCATTTTCAACTTCTTTAGCATATTCGTCAGGAGTTGTCTTATATTTGTTAGGAACTGTCTTTGAAAGTATACCACCTTGAACTTTGACAAGTTTGAAACGAGGTCTGACAATAGTAGTTTTATCTTCTGCTTGCAGTCTGTACATTTTGCCATGTTTGCCTAAAACTTCATAATATTCTCTTGTATACTTTCTTCTATTTTTACGAACACGAACGTGAGTACCTGTCGAGTTCCCATTGTTGTCATAGTCAATAGTATTTTCATATGGGTCGCGTTTAGGTATTTCTATTTTTACTTTGTCACCTTTCTTAAGTTTGAAGCCTGGCATTCTTTCTTGTTTGTCTCTTTTGACTAAACTATTAAATATATAGTCTTTCTCTAAGTCAGGGTTGTTTTTCATTTCTTCGGGGGAGTGGTTTCCCAAACCTTTTTGTTTACGGCTATTGTAAATATTTAAAACTTGTCTCATCTTTGCCATGGAGAAGTGTCTATACTTGTCGTCATATGACATTTCATCTACCTCACCACCTTGTGGTGTTGTTTAAGTCTCTTAAGATTTTTATACAACTGTCAATGACACCAAGAGCAGAATGGTTTTGGTCGACAATGAAATATTGGTTTACATTTTTTGAACGCAGATAGTTTTTAATATCGTCTGATTTGAAAGAACTTTCACAGTCAGATGTCAGTTTTGTTGGATGGTATTTGTCAACGAATATTGTCAAAGCAGTTTTCACATCTAAAATATTTTTGGACCATAATGGTATGGCTTCACAGTATCTTGTGTTTTGACCGACAAATATTAGCCAGTATGGTGGTCCATCTTCTCTATACCTCGGAATGTTTTCCAAGATATCCATAAACCAAGCATTTGGTGTTGAACTAAAGATTTTTACCATGAGTGCTTTCTTTGTCGCTTTAGAAACATACGGGTCCTTGTTTGAATTCGTCATTTTTAACCCATAAGAAATGGGTTTATTTGGCGCATTAGCAGGAGTCGCATCTAGATTTTTACCCGCAGTGGGAACACTAGCCAGAGGTGCATTTGGAATTGGAAGGAAGATTTTGAGTACATTAGGTATACTGAAAGAGAAAGCACAACCTATTATACAAACTGTACAGAAAGGTTGGGAGGTAGCACGAGATGCAGCAAATCTTATTCCAAATCCTGAAACAAGAGGAAAAGTTCAAGGATGGATGGACAATGTAGGAAGACAAGCAGGAAACTACTATAACAAAGCAAATGACTACTATAACCAAGCAGGGCACTATATGGACCAAGGTGAAAGATTCTTTAACAGAGGATATAACCATGCACAACAGTGGGTAAACAACAACCAACCTCAACCGCCTCAAACGTGGGGAATGTAAATTTTTTTACTGAGATGAAATGAACAATACAGCATTGAGACAAATGGGCTCAAGATGGATTTGTCGGCTTCCAGCAGTTACACAACCACGTGTTTGTCAAGTTCTTCCTATACCTCAGGAAGTTTTAGACCGACTTAAAAAACCTCAACAACCAGTTGAAAACAAACCAAACTAAAATTTTTTACTGAGATGAAATGACCGAAGAAGTTGAAACGGTAGATTTGACACCACAAACAAAAAGTTCAGAACCATTGTCAAAACCTGTCAAAGAACTTACAGATGAAGAGAAAAATTCAATAATAGAAAGTGCCAGGTCTGGAAATACAAACTCTAACTACAAAGTCACTTTTCATAAAAATGGAACGGCAAGTATCTCAAAAAAGAAACAGACTCTCACAAATAAAATATTGAAGTCTGAAGGAGCTTTCGAGACAACAGATGGAAAAGTTTACTTCACTGACCAACAGTTCATTATAGAACATCTCATTGACTTAGAGTCGAAATATTCTAAACTTTACAACAAACACAAAAAGTTGAAAGGAAAACAAAAACAAATGGCATATGACATTTATGAAGATGTTGACGACACAACTGTTCCAGCAAGTGAGGTAAAGTCAGATGAACCGAAAAGTGACGAAAAACCAATAGAAGAAGAAAAACCAAAAACTGAAGATAAACCAAAACCAAAGTTTAGTTTCAAACTAAACCAAGTCAACCTTCATTAGCTGGTATGGGTTGGCGTCAAAGACTTATGGCAGCCGGTGGTTATGTAAAGTAAAGAAAAAACATTTTTTTATTTTTATAAAAATGCCCCCATATAGAATGGATAGAAGGTCTGCTAGAATAAAAGCAGAGTTAGAAAGATATGGTTGGAGAGTTTCAAAGAAGTTTAAATATAGGAAGGGAAGACCCATAAAAGTCTATGACAAATTGTCTGGTCTTCGCTACGAAATGGACTTGGAAACAGCACGCGCAAATTATCCAAACAGACTAGAGAGGTTAGAAGAAGAACGTCTTATGGACATGCCTTTCGATGTTAGTGAACCTCAAGTTGAAGGACACGACGGCTTTGCCAGATTCTACTGGAAACATGACGAACAATTGCATCCTTTGAGGAGGAAAAAAGGAAAAGGTGAAGACGCACATGCTCCCATGGAAAGAACAAGATATGCATATGAAAAGTATCGTGAAGTTAGAAGTAAAATTGCATCTGGTCGAACCTTTACAGTAAACTTTGACGAAGGAAAGAACAAAGAAGGCTTCATGGGTGTACTTGCTGCAATTCAAGACGGAAATAAGAAAGGATACAATCTCAGATTAACCGTAACAGATTTAGATGGTCATATATACTATGCACATGGCAATGTCACAACAGCCGCACAACTTCTTGACGCTTTCAAGACTACAAAGAGAGAACAAATGTTTGACTCCGACTCAGACATTTTGAATGCAATTGAAGGAATTGCAAGCGTCAAGTTCGAATGGTACCAACCTAACCCTCAAGCAGTCAGACAACATGCTGGATACTTCCCCTTCAGAAATAAGTCTGACATTGACTTGACAAGGTATGGAATTTACAATTCAATTGAAACAATTGTCAATGAACCTTGTATTCTTACATGTCTCAGGAACTCTGGTCTTGTTACAGATGAGAAAATGAAGTATCTTGAGTCATGTGTGAAGACAAGGTACATTCTCAGAGGTCAATTGTCAAAAATTGCACCGTTGGCAAATGTCAATATCCGAGTCAACATTCCGACTGAGAAAGGTTCTTCACATGACGACTATGTTGTTGACAAAGACTTACCATGGTTGAAGATTGTAATTGTCCACAACCACTTCATGTTGAACGAAAGTCTTACAAACCCATTGTTCGGAAAAGGCAAGTGCAACATTGTCAGAGCTGTTAACATTCTTTTCGAGAAAGGTTTGTTGGAACCAATTCCAGATGACAAGCTGACAGAAACTTTTGTACCAAAAGACGAAACAAACTTTTCATTGTTAGCAGACCAAAAGTTGTTCCAGACAAAGTTATAGCACAAAAGAAGTACACAGTTCCAAAAGGAGTTGGATTGTTCGGATACCAACCTGAACCAGAAGAACTTCCAATGAGGTTGCAAGAACTTCAAGATGCTATAAACAAACTTCCATTGAGACATCCAATTGACGTCAAATTGTATTGGAGAGCTCTGAGTTAGGTCAGAAGGTTTTATATGAAACAGGTTGCTTCGACGATGTTTATGAGATAACAGGAGAAGTTTCTCAGAAGATAAGAGACTCACTTGAATTTCCACGAACTGGACCGATTGGATGCGACAAGTTCGACTCAATGAAAAAATATACTATGTCGACCTTAACGCTGCGTACATGAGGTTTGTCCAATATATCCGACTGGAATTCCAAACGAAATGGTGAGTTCCCGGGAAGGAACTATACAGTTGGAAAAGTCATACAACAAATGTATGATATTAGGAAAGCTTCAAACCCCAAACTTGCAATGACACTCAAATTGCTTATGAATTCGACATGGGGATATTCCATTAAGAAACCTCAAGATGAAGAGTAAACACTATGAGAAGGTCGACAACTTTGTTGAAAGGTTTTCTCCTTTTGTTTTGAAATACGAGTTCACCGAAGGTCAAAATGGCTTAGTAACCACAGTAAAACCTATTGTCGAACATTGGTCTTACCCTCAGTTCGCAAAGGCAGTCCTCGACAACTACAACAAATTCTTCTCCGAGGTTAAATCCAAAGTTGTGGTATACTATGAGAACATCGATGCGCTCATGACGAACGAAGAAGGCTATAACAAACTCATTGAAATGGGAATGGTCGGTGAAAAGATGGGTCAATTCAAATTGGACAAAATTTTCACCGAAGTTCATGTCCTCTCCAAGCGTAAGTACTGGGGCATACTTGAAGACGGCACAGAAATAAAACATTGCATGAAGTAAAAAATTTTTATTCGAATTTGAATCGGACAGGTCGAGTTACACCATTCTTGGTCTCAAACTCATATATAACCTGTTTGTCTGTATTTTCGTCGACTATGGCACGAGACACGAACATTGACCAAACGGACAAAAAGTGTCATTTCGGATGGTCAAGCAGCCAATCGCATTCGAGCACTTCGAAGAAGCCTTACGTTCCAAGGGAGAGGGTGTCTGGTGCAAGGCAGAGGTCATGAAACTCTACGAGCAGTACATCCTCAATGCCTGGGAGGACAAATCGTCCTTGGATTGGCAATTCTACCAACTCCTCTGGGACGACCTCCTACGCAACTGGGATAACGAAAGAGCCCAATTCAAAGGTCGGGAACTAATTTTACAAATGACCATTAATTTAACCTACTTATCCAACTAAAAACTTAAATTTACTCGGGGTTTCCCCCTAAAATAAAATTTTTTTACTCTTAGAACCACTCGAGGTTCTCCTTACGGTTGTTGAGCTTGTCACCGTCAATGTGTCTGACCTTCGTCTTCTTGTTTGGATTTGGAACCCATTGCATACCGACAAGCCTTCCCATGGAAATTGTACCGTAATTTCGAAGGGTAAGGCTCAAGTGTCCCAAGTTGTTGAGGACTGGGGTAAGAACCTTGCCGGTCTCCTTGTTGCGGATTTGGTATGGGTAGGGCTGGGAAATTTCATAACCGTCATCGGCAACAAGGGTTGCCCAAACTTCCTTTTCTTCGTGTTTCTCTTCTTCTTCCTCTTCTTCTTCTTCCTCTTCTTTGATAATACCTTCGGCAATTCTGTGTTCACGAAGTACGGTGTTGCATGTTCTGTCCTTTCCGAGTGCCGCCCAGATGGTGTCAATCTCTTCGAAGAAACGGTAGATGAGTCGGGCAAGGTTTTGGTTCTCTATGTTGTATTGGCGCAAGGTTTCCGCGAAATCGTTCAGGACTTTCTTATTGGAAGCTTGGTTCGTGAGGATTTCGACTTTGAGATTGGTTATCTCTTCCATAAGACTACTTTGGAGAGTCTTAATGGTGTTTGACAGATGAGCGTTCAATTGGGCAATTTGAATTTGAACTGGGCGCTTGTCTGGCAACCTTGAAAGGACATCTGCCATTGAGTTTGGCTTCGGTGCTTGTTCGGACATCGAAAAAATGAAGTGGTTTGAGAATGACGGTTTTACTTCAAAAAGCTTGTTATGACGGTTAAGTCATACAACAAGTTTAAAATAATATCTTGTTCTTCTTCTGAACGTTTGTTGTCTCTTCCGATAAAAGTTTCGAACATGAGAACCAAAAAACGTTTTTTGAGATTGCGGAAGAGTTCAGGCAAACGTTCATATTCTGGATATGTTGGGAGCAGTTCGAAACATCTGAGCTGACTTTCGGACAAAATTGGGACAATGTCAACAAATTCATCTTTGGTCGGACTGCTTGAAGGTAAGTCCCTTACATGTAAGTAGCTCTGGTAAAGTCTTCTCATTTCTGCTAACTTTTGGAGTATAGCTTCGTAGTTTAGAAGTTTTAATTTTAATTGTCTTATTCCACTCTTGACATCTAAACGGTAACTTTGGCAGCTTTAAGTGGAGCTATCTGTTCCTTGACTTCTGCAATTTTGGTTGCAATTGTGATTTGAGCTCCTTCAAGTTCGCCGTCTATGTCGTTCTCAACATCTTCAACCATAGCTTGAAACTCTTCATCGGTCCATTGAGTTTGGTGTGGGACGAATTTAACTTGCTTCATTCAAAAAATGAAAAAAAATGTTTTTACTCTAAACGTGCCATATAGATGTTTGCTGAACTGGTTGGATGTCGCCTTCTGAGGTTATGTAGAACGGTTGACCAGAGAAGTGAAGGAGAGACTGAATTGCCAATTTCATATGGGGTAGGGGGTTCTCCTTGTTTGGTATTTTTATCCAAGGACGTTTGTTTAGGAACTTAACAAGAGCTTCTCTTTTGGCGTCCTTTATGCCATCGTAGGCTGTCCCGTCTGGTATTTGAATTGGAATTCCAGTCGAAGTCTCGAGCTGAAGTGTAGACCTTCCAGAAATAGAGATGAACTTGACCTTGGGCTTCATTACCTTGCGCAAGTAGTCTTTTAAGCAGTCGTTAATTTCAATTAGGTAAATTGCCTCGTCAAGTCTTTCTTGCATTCCAAGTTCTTCCATCCGACAGGAAAATGTTTTCCCGACAACTGGAAAAAATTTTTCCCGACGACAGGAAGAACTCTTCCAGTTGTCCGTCCGTAAACCATTCAAATTTTCGAAAATTGAGAACTTTTTGGTCGAACTTCAGAAAAAGTTTTTCCTTCCGACAGAAAAAGTTCTTCCTTCCGACAGGACACAAACGAATGTCCGACGTACCACCAACCGAGTCCATTCCAAAGCCAGAAAAACCGAAAGCTGCAGAACCACAACAGTCTCCTCAGCAACCTCAGTTCCAGCAAGTACCTCCACCAAATTACTACCAATTTCCACCTCAATGTTACTACCCACCACAAGGCTTCCCGAACTACCCTCCTCCTCAGCCTATGCCTTACTTCCCCAACCCTTGGATGTTCCAGCAAGCTCCACCCCAGCAATTCCAATTCCAATCTCAATCGAAGAGAGACCAAGACTTCGAAGAAGGTCTGAACCGCTTACGCAAAGAGTATGCTACAGCTCCAATGGAAGACGACAGGCTTTCAGTCTCTTCCCTCAAATCGACCGATTCGACTCGTACCACAGATTCGGTCAAAGACAGAGACGACTACCTCAAGCAGTCTGAGAGACTCTTCATCTTACAGCCATTTACAGTTGGAGCTCTCAAGAACATGCGCAATTACGAAGGTCAGACACCAGCTGGAGACCGCAAAACAGACGTACTCGCAAGAGCCGTCCAGCTCGTCAAGACAAAGACTGAGATAGTCGACTTCATTCTTGCAGCTTGCCCATACAAGTAAAAAAATAAACAATTACGAGTTAAACTTTTTATTCTTTCTTTTCTGAGTTGTTTAGAGCTGGTTTCTCTTGTAGGAACCTTTCGTACTCTTCCATGGTCATGTAATTGCGAATTTTGTACGCAATTCCAGGTTCGTTGTTTTTGAACCTTACGTATGTAACGCTTCCATCCTCCTCAGGGAAGTAAGCTGCTAACATCTGACCAAGTTTTCTCGGTGACTCGGAGCTCATAAAAATGTCACTTTTTAAACGTTAAGTTTTTAGTCTTATTTTACCCTTTGTTTACCCTTTGTTTGTCAAGGTAGTATTGGAGTGCAATTTCTCCAAATTCTCTGTGTCGGAGTTCTTCAGCATTTTCCAAGGTGTACCTGGAGAACTCAAAGAAGTTGTCAAGAACATACTGCCATGCTGCTCTTCTGAGTTCGTCGGTATTTTGGAAGTGTTGCACCTTCGAGTCTTCTGACATGAAAAAAATGACACTTTTTCATTATATAACTGTTATTTTTTGACGAAGAGAACTTTTGCACTTCGTAAAAAAATCCCTGAAATCGTGAAAAATTGCGAGTAGGTAAAAAACCCCAGTCGCCAAAACTCATGAAAATCGTGAAAAAATGCGAGTACGTAAAAAACCGTAGTCGCCAAAACTCTATGAAAACAGTGAAAAAATGCGACCCCGACTTTTACAGGGGTCGCCTAAAACTCATGAAAATCGTAAAAAAACTCTATGAAATCATATCTTTTATACAAGATATGAAAAAATAAAATAAAGCTAGTTTTTTATAAAATATTTTTTTTATTTTGTATGTAAGAACAGGAAATGACAAACACTGAGTTTGAAACAGTTAAAAAGATAGACAATGACACCAAAGTGGTTAGAATAGGTGATTTAAACGTAAGATACTCAAAGAAATACAACAAATATTCTTTGTCAGACATTATATCACCATTTGGAAAGAAAACATGGCATTGGGTTGGAATTGCTTCAACTCAGAAAATTTTGACAAGAAATCCTGAGCTTATGATATCGGTAAGATTCTGTGGAACTACAGCATATCTCATTGACAAAAGTCTTATACCAATAGTTTTGTTATGGTTAGACCCAGTTGTTGGATATAATTTCATAACATATGGTTCATTCGATACGGAACGTTGCAGTGAAGGCTTACTTTACATCGTTCAGAAACCGAAGGACTTCAATACAAAGAGATATAAGATAGGAAGAACATATAATATAACTCAAAGATATGACAGTATAGTCAATAGAGTCAAGGTTGTGTTTGTGAATGATATGAGAGCTGCTGAAACAGAACTACTTGAAAAGTTTGAGAAAATGTATGGTGCTCCCATAAAAGGTAAAGAAACGTTTGAAGTAGATGAGATAGATAAAGCTATAAAATTATTTGACGAAGTTGCTGAAAAATACATGTAAAGCGTTTATTTTTGGTCTTTTGTGAAAGTCAGATGGCTCAGGTAGCTCTATAAGGTAAATTGTCTTGTCAAATCCTTCTGGCATTCCGAGTCCTTCCTTCCGACAGGAAAAAATTTTCCTTCCGACAGGAAGAACTCTTCCTTCCGACAGGAAAAAATTTTCCTTCCAACAGGAAAAAATTTTCCTTTCCGACAGGAAAAAATTTTCCTTCCACAGGAAAATTTTTCCAGTTGTCCGTCCGTAAACCATTCAAATTTTCGAAAATTGAGAACTTTTTGGCCGACCTTCAGGAAAAATTTTCTTTCCGACAGGAAAAGTTTTTCTTTCCGACAGGAAAAGTTTTTTCTTTCCGACAGGAAAAAGTTTTTCTTTCCGACAGGAAAAGTTCTTCCTTCCGACAGGAAAAGTTCTTCTTCCGACAGACACAAACGAATGTCCGACGTACCACCAACCGAGTCCATTCCAAAGCCAGAAGAACCGACAGCCCCAGCACCACAACAGACTAAGACTCAAACACTTACATTTTTACGCTTGACTTTTTTACAATTTGAACTTTGTTTGCGTAGATGTGAATTCTGAAAGAAGTATGAGGGTCTTGTATGACTTTGTACTTCTCCCATAGTTCATGTCTGTCAAACTTACCTGCCATGGACTCTTTCATAAGTTCCATGAAATCGTCTTCGGACAATCCGGGGAAAAGTATGATATCAGTAAGTATTCTCTTACATCCTTACTTAAACTCTTGGCTGTCTGTACACAAATGACAACTGAGATGTTAAAGTGTCTGAGCTTCTTAAGAATTCGACACATGTCTTGTTCTCTATTCTTTAACAAAGGATGAGAAGCAAAGTCATCTAAGATAGGAAGACATCTATGAGGGTAAGTCTTCCAATCGTAAGATTGCAATTTCTTCGAAATGTATTCTATCTCTTTCTGTTTGTTTCTGAAGTGTTTCTTCTCTAATATTCTCTGCATTTCCTCATTTGGGTCTTTAAACTTCGAATTGACATACTCATTTATAGCATTGTACTTCAAAACTCTTTTTGGTACTTCTTTATCCAATCTAACAACTCAGAGTCTTTTATACATACTAACTTAGACTTTTTTATAATATCTTTGAACGAATTGACGGTTTGGTCAAATTGACCAGAAGTACTACAAATGACTACTAACTCATAGAATGGGTTCTTCTCATCTAGTTCTTGTTGTTGTGCAGCCATTTTAAGATAAGTGAAAGTCTTACCCGACCCAGGTGGTGCAATTAGACCTGTTATACCATTCTGAGGCAAATAAGAACTTGTCATGTATGGGTTTATCTGAGCATTTTCCAACTTCCTCTTGTTCTTGTTTAAAAACATTCTCAATTTTTTGTCAATGTCAGCAAACTTTTTTTCTAACATATTTTTAGAAAAATTAAAATTTTTATCTTTTAGGAAATGTCTAGCGATTTCGCTATCTATATTCGAGACAAGCTTTTCGACAGCAAAACATCTGTCGACATAAAATCTTACATAGTGTAAACAAGAAAGGTGAATTTGTTCTAAGTTCTGTTTCTGGGAATATGACAAGAACCATAAAACCTTAAGCAGAGAAGTCTTAAAATTTGTCAATGACAGACTTGTTGACAGAGATGACGCCTCTTGGAGAGATGAAGTCCAACAAAACTTCTTAGAATGCAAAGAAGACACATGCGCTGTTCTTGAAAATGAAATAGAAAACAGAATAGAAGAGCTATTAAATGACAAAGCACTTTTACAAAAATATGGTTCTGAGAAGTTTGATATAACTCCACCAGAAAAAGAAGAAGAGAGAAAAGAAAGAAAAGAAAGTAGAAGAAGAGAAGAAAGAACCTGAACCAGAGAAGGGGAGATATGACATGTAAAAATAAAATTTTATTTTTAGAACATTTCTGGGTCAATGTCAATGTTCTCTTCCTCTTAGGAGCAAACACTGGCTTAGACTCTAAAATCTTTTTACCCAATTTACCTTGAACTTCAACTATCTTAGACTCATAATATTCATAGTCGTCTGCTTTCTTTGGTTCATAAGGTATAACAAGTTTGTATGCTTTGCCTTCTTTAAGGTTTGAAAACCTTCTGTCAAAACTTTCTTTGACTGTTAACAAACCTTCTATGTCTAAGTCTTCAAATTTCGCACCATTTTTAGTCACAATAGCAAACTTAACTGGTTCGATGTTCCAAACTTTGTCAAATGTAGACTTTTCAAAATGGTAGAAGTAAACATTCAAATATGTGAATGGGTCTAGTTCTTCTTTAAGTCCTGACATGTACTTGTTGACTGAGATGAATTTCGTCATCTTTTCTATCGGATAAAAAAATATTTTTTTTAAAATTTACTCAGAAAATTTTTCTTTGTATATACACCATTCTGAACATCTAAAAGACTTTTGACATTTGCCAAGAATGTTCGTTTAGACGCTGTCATATAACCATACTCTTGACAATACTGTTTATACGAATCGTACAATGACCTTTCATCTAAAACACTCAAAGTCAGTTTCATCTATGAACAGTTCATATACACTCTTGTTTGCTTCTAACAATGTTTGTCTCTCTTCGGTATGTGGAATTTGTCTTGGATTGAACTTAGAAATATCTAATGTCATGAAATATGAGAACAAGTGGTTGTAAAAGTTAGATGTTAAAGTTTCTGCTAAGTCGTCAAAATATTCTGTATCTTGCATATGAGCTTCTGACGTTCTGACAACTACATATCTTCTGTCAGAACTTTCTAACTTCATCGGAACGGCGTTGTTTGAAACCATGACGAAGTTTGCAACATTTTCACAAACTCTTTGGTCTTTATATTTTCTTTCAACAACTCCAACTTTGTCTGTTATAAGACTCTTCAAAAGCATCTGAGTTTAAAACCTTTGTTGTATCTATACTTTGAAGTTCGTTACATACTATAAGTTTCATATTCTCTATTGAAGAGTTAAATTTACCGCAGATGTTTTCTAAGTTTGTCATATTCGGATTCGAATAGCCCTCTAACAGTTTGCATAAGATATCTGTAAAGAAAGTGTTCTTACCTGTTCCTTGTTTTCCAATTATGATGAGAGCAGTTTCATTTTTAGCACTTGGATGTTGTAAGATGTTTGCAAACAACATAAGATATACTCATAGACTCTTTCGTTTCCATTGCATATAATTTCTTTGACATGGTCTAACCAAGCTTCTATAACATTTTCTTTCCATTCTACTTGTTCGTATTTATATCCAGTGAAGATAGAATAGAAGTTTGGAGAAGGTGTATAAAACTTTATACCAACGAACTGAAAAATCTTCTAACTTTGACAATAAGATATCCCAAGCATCTAACATCTTCATGCCACTTGTACGACTTTATTTTCTTAAGTTTCTGTTTACATTCTTGTTCTGAACTATTGTCGCTTTAGGTTTGTTAAAGACTACATCCCATTCTTTCATGACATAACATTCTGGGGCAGAGTCGACATAAATGACTAAACGTTTCAAATTCTCGACTGCTTTGTTATAGTCTCGAAATGGACACATATTTCTGAAGGCTTGGAAGTCATAAAAATCTGAAACGTCTATTCTGTACATTTTTTATAAAAATAAAAAAAATATTTTTTTTATTCTTGAGCTATTTGTTGTTGCATTTGTTCCATTTGTTGCATTTGTTGTTCTTGAGCTATTTGTTGTTGAAGTTGTTCTTGTAGTACAATACTTTCACCAGTTGCATCTTCCAATTCGAAACTTTCTGCCGTCATTGACAAATACATAGGACATAAAAGTTTTACAGGAACAAAGTTTGCGTCAACTAAGGTTAAGTTTATGTTTGCCAAAGTGTTTGAGTTTACTAAAGCTGAAAACTCTGCATTCGAATGAACAATAGGCAAACCAGCAGAGAAAGTGTTGTTTATACGCATGAGTATCTTTTGGTCATAGTAGTTTCTGTTGACATTCGAATAGCACTTTGAACCTAAGTTTGAAACAATATATAAAATAGGTGTACTTAAAGTCAATGGAACAGACATTCCTTGTATGACACCTTTTCCTGTTATAGGAAATTGTTGGTAGTAAAAACCAGATATAAGTTTTGTATTATAGCTCATATCGTTTATAGTAAACTCAGTCGGACATCCAAACATAATGAAACCTGCTCTAGTTGCAGCACATGTTACATCCGTCCTTAAAGTATTAAATAAGTCAACAAAAACCTGTTGTGGTATATCTGAGTAAGTATCTTCAAAGGAGTATTTTTTACCATTCACAACAACAAAGTCTTCTGGTGTCAAAAGAGCAAAACAGGCTTTAGTCGTCATCGTGTTTAAAGTTAGTTTACAATATCGTCCTTGAGGACTTTGTAAGTTTGTTGTTATAGAATTATATGACTCAGGGTTTTTAGTCGTAATAGTATAAACCACTATGTCTTCTGCCATTTACATATATTTAAAAGTTTTTCTGAAAGTGGAGAAGAACTTCATCTAAACTTTCACATGGCGTTTCTTGAAGTTCTCTGTCTAAGAAGTTCAAATATTTTGTAAAGACATAGAACTTTCCTTTGTCTACACGAACAAACAAAACAGGGTCTTTCATATCGTTTCAAAAGTGTGTAAAGTCCTTTACATGAAATAAAAGTCTATATTGTTTTTCTTCAAACATCTTTCAAGAAGTTTTGACATTTACTTAGCAACTAAATTTTAATGAAATGTTGTGGTCGTCAAATATTTTTATGACGTCTGGGAAACTATATTTTAAGTTCAACGTTTCACCTCCTTTCATAACGTTATTTGTCAATGACATTGTATGAAACACCACAGCAAGCAATGTCGGGTTCTATTTCTTTGATGTTTATATCGTCTGCCTCTGTCAAAAAGTTTCAATAGTTCTTTCAAACTTCATGAGGTGCAATGACATATGAGTTCACTTTTACAGGGTTGTGCTCAACCAAGTTTAACATTATACCCAAAGCTTGACAAATCTTCTCCTGAGTTTAAGTTTGTCTTTAAGTTGTTGGTAGTCGTTTCGAATATCTGCAACAGAACTTAAGTCTCTGCTAACTTCAGGATATGTTGGTTGTTCTTTTACAGGAACTATTGTGTTATACCATCTTCGTCTTCGTATGGTTTCCCCACTTCAACATCTCTTTCTTTGACATTGACAACAACACTTTGACTGTTTGTTTGAGTTGGTGAATTTAACTTCACATCTGCCACCGCCATTAAACCTTTTGAAACACTTACGCTTCTATTTTTCGGAAATGACATTTTACTTAGAATAAAAAGATGGACGTATTTGAGTATCTCTTCGAATTGAAGCAAAACAAAGTTTACACACACAAACAATACAAGTTCATTGATAGAATAGTTCTTTATACAAACAATGGAAAATGTTATAGAATAGCAGTCTTTGCTGAACCAAAATATTTTTCATAAAGCAAAGAAAGTTGGTATAACCGAGATGGTGAAAGTTCTTGACGTTGACAAAAATATAACAACAAAACTGACCGATATTTCTAAAGGAAGTTTTTAATACAATATTATATCAAAAACTGGCGTACTGTCAATATTTGACGGAGAGAAGTCAGTTCAAGAACAACTTACTGACCTGCTGCCAAAATCTGCTCGATGGAAGCTGTCGTTATGCCAATCTGAGGAGCTCCAGCAGGTTTCATCGAACGAATTTTCAAAGAGCATCTTCCGTGAAAAGTGCTATTGGTTTTGTAAACTTCTTTGCTTTCAATTCATTTGGACCGTCTCTGTCACCAGTATATTGTATTTGAACTGTACCAACAGTTGAAATACCACCCATAAAGTCTTCTGAGTCAGCAAATGGAATGCCAAGCCAAAAGTTTGAACGGTCTCCATTTGTATATTGAGTGTTTTGAGCTCCTGTATGAGTCCATACTTTCACATATGGCATAATAGAACTTTGCATTTCAGGGTTAATGGTTGTTGTGAAGTTGTTGTGTTAAAGTTCATAGCATCTAATGTCAAGTTGTATGACCTCATATCCTCAACTGTAGAATATTCTTCTCTTGGATAGTATTTGCCATCTATGTTTATATGATATTTAATACCGGGGTTGTAGAAACAAGAATAGTCATTTATAGTTCGTCTGAAAAGAACAAACATAGTATCTGCATGTTTCATTGCAGTTGTTAAGGCAATATCTGTTTTGCACCTGGGTCAGCACTTTGGTTTCCAACTTCACCTGCAAAGTCTTTGACAGATATTTGGTGTATAGGGAACATAAGTGGAACTGCAATATATTTGGCAGCTAAAGCATTTGAAATATCTGGGTCCAACATATAGACTGCAAGTCTGCTTTCTATTCTCTTGCATTCAAATTTTTCGCATGTGAACTTAACTGGGTCCCAAGCAGTTCCAGCAGCATTGAAGTAGTAGTTTACTTCAGTGTTGAGGTTTGAGAAACCAAAGTTTAGGTCAACTTTGTCTTTGCAAAAGTCACAGAACTTGGCTCCACCAGTTCCAGCTACAGTAAGAGTGAATGGGTCTTGTGTTGGTGCAATGACTAAGTTATTTTTGCTTGGAGTAAGTTCGATAGAAATTTTTCCTGCCCAGTTTGGCAAGTATCTTAAAAACCTGAAGATGAGGAAAGATGACAAAGGAACTCTAAGTTTCAATTTTACTTTGGTTACTGCTGCTGCAGTTTGTCCAGAAGGTCAACATAAACTCCTGGAACGTTAGGGTCAAGTCTTCTTATTTTCTCAATAGTTGCATACTGGTCTGTTTGTTCTCTAGCTTGTGGTTGTACTGAGTTTCTCAAAGCGAACCATTCATAGTTTGCCCATGTTACTGTTTGAACTAAGTCAGAGTTAGAATATATCTTATATCCATGAAAACTTCTGGAGCATATTGGTATCCGACATAGAAAATTCCATTGCAACCTTTCTTGTCAGACAACTTGGCAGAAGGTTTTATTTCAATGTCTTGTTCCACGTATAAGAAAGAGTTGTCAATAGAAATTATATGAAACCTGTCGCAAGCAATATCTACTGTTGTTGAAGAACCTTCTCCAAACTCACCTACGTTTCCATAAGAAACAGCAGTTGTATATTCGTAAGTTCCAGGAACTATTTCTGACCTTCTAATGGCATTGTCGCATTCGTTATACCATTCGGAAACATTTCCATTCATAGCATCCAAAACTGTTGGCGTTATATTCTGAGCGGCGTACATTTCATATGGGTAAAAATATAGAATAGTTGGATTTATATGCCATAATAGAACCCACGTGGACCAAGCTTTACTTTCTTCCTGACTGAGTTTTTAACTCTTCTTTTTCCTTCATTGCCACTACTTTCACTAGATGAAGTTACTTCTTCACTACTTTCACTTTGTTCTACTCTTCTTCTTTGGTGTCGCTTTGGTAACTTGCCCTCTGCTTGAAGTTGTTGCATCTTTGCATTATGTTCATCTAGTATGTTGCAAATTTCCCATGTCCTTTTTGCCTTTTGGCTCTGGTCGCCATCTCAGGTAACCTATATCCTAGAAAGAGTTTGTCATAGTTTTGTATTTGAGTCTTTGCGTATTGTTTGCATGACTCTGTCCTGAGTTTCCGGTTCAAGCTCTTCAAACAGTGCCTGTCCATATGGAATAAGCTCGTTTCCAAATATATGTTTTTGTAGCCATTCTGGTTTTCTTTCCATGTTACCAACTATATCTTTTGTGAATGGGAAAGCTTTTACCCAACGTTTCAGTCTTGCGTCATTTATTTCTGTAGTTGGTTTTATTTTGTCAAGGAACATGTTTTTCAATACTAACATTTCATTTGGTACTGTCAATTTGAGTTTTCTTAAATATTCATCCCTTCTCAGTTCATTGTCTGCAAAGTAAGTTTTTATGACATTTTGCAAACTTTCATTTGCAAGGTCATGTACAATAGGTTCTCTTCCTTCTCTCTCCCTAACTGTCTTTCTAAACTCTTCACCAAATATACCATCTCTATGGTTCTGTGTAGTTCTTTGAGATAAATGTTTTAGAACGTCAGGTGTTATATTTCCATCAGCCATGTTCATTTCATACTGGTCCAAAATATCTGCATGTTTCATATCTTTCAATGGCATTAAAGCCGCGCTTAAAATACCAGCTATATCTGGTTCACCATTGACTTCCATTGCGTCTACAACTTCTTGGAATTGTGGTTGTAAGTTTATGAACCACCTATCCGGGTTAGCTTTAATGACCCCATCTCATTGTAGTTCCATAGTCTGCAGAAAACAAAAGTAGGTTTGTTTCCATCTTGGTTAGGTTCTGAATGAACTTTAAACAATGTTTCATTTCTATATGTTTTGTTGAAATTTAACCTTTTATTTTCACCGAGTTCATCCAAAGATTGAACGTTATATCCTCGTAAGTAAAAAGGGTTGTTGTATTTGTGTACATTTTCTTTCAGTACTTCCATTCTATGCTGAATATTTTCATCTGGTGTTGGAGTCTTTTGTATGTCGGCAAACATTTTTCGATATTCTTCTACTATGTCAGCCGAATTTTTTTTAGACTCTTGGAAATATTCCATATTCTCCGCATACTCTTGTTGAGGGTCAAGATTTTTCGGCTGTTCCAAATCTTCATCTAGTTCTGTGAAGTTAGTTTCCAAAGGAGTGACTTGTTCGTTTCCTTCAGGCTCTTCTAGCTTTTGTTGCTGAACTATTTCTTCCATGTCTGGTTGTATCTGAACTTCTTCCTGTGGAGTTTCTTGTACCTCATCTGCTGGCATTTCATATATTCCGAGACCGTTTTCAACAAGTTCCCTTTCTAAGTCATCCGGACTCACAAACCTTTCTTCTTTCGTTCCGTCTCTATTTTTTACGCGTTTCATGAAGAGAGTTAAATTGTCATTTAGCTCTGACATCAAATATCTCGGAGTAAATTCGTTCATGTCATTTGGATGATATGCTATT